TATTGGGTCCAGGAGTTTGAGGGCAGCCTGGGCAACATAGGGAGACTCCATCTCTAAAATAAACAAACAATAATTTTCAAAAACCCAAAAATTTCCAAAGAATCCATCAAAAAAGCACTGGGAAAATCAGCGTAGAGCATGATGAGTGCTTTTAAAAGTGGTTCTATTTTTATTGTTTTTACTACTTTTTAATTATGAAATATTTCATTTTGTAAAAGAAAACGCAAATATTTATGGTACATATTTATCTCTGTATCAATGTGTACAGAGACATGCATAGAAATAACAAAATGAACATGTTATGACTTATCAATTAAAAAACTAGTTGAACATCTCAAGAACGTAGAAACAAACACAATTACTCAATACTGAACTGGAAGTCATCGATCCACGTTTAAGCGAACATGTGGAAATAAATCTCGATGAAAATCAAGCTGGGGGGAGAAGGAAGGAGGCCATGGGTAAATTCATAGGGTACAGTGCACACTATCTGGGCAAAGGCCACAGTTACATGTATAACTTTGATTCAATCTGTACAAAAACAAAGTATATAAATAAAACAAGTGTCACACCCCCTAATATTCTGAAATAAAAAATAAAATAAAATAATTGTAGTTGAGAAAGCCTGATGGCCTCCATTCTCTCACTCGCAGCCTCCCTGGTGGTTAAGTGTAGCAGCCCTCTGACCAGGTTCTGTGCAGTCTTTGATCATGGCCTCCAAAGGAAAGGAACATAGCAATCTCTTTTCTTTCTCTCCTTCCAATGGGTTGGAAGTTGTAGCCAGCCATTTTTGATCGCGAGGACAGAAGCAACATCCTAAAAGTGGCAGACTAATGAAATAGAAGAAATCCATGTCCCTGAAACCATGGAGCTGCCATACCAGCCCTCAGCCCTCAACCCTGGATTACCTACTGAGACATTAGATGTGGAAAAGCCAACTTAGTCTGGTTCAGCTCGGCTGCATCCTAATGTGATTACCAACATGGGCCCTCCACAGGAGCCCTTCCTGTGCTCTCTATTAGGAGTAACAGCTACCCAGCGTTGTGTTTATGATTCTCTGCTTTTCTCTAATTAGGTTTAGATGAAGGTTGGCGCCTCATGATGGGATTAGTACCTTTAAAACAAGAAGCCCAGAGATCTCCCCCCCACCCCCACCCCCGCTCCGTCTTGCTGCCTTCCTCTTCCTAACTCTCCCTAACTCTCCCTCTGCCAGGGAAGGTTGGCTGTCTACAAGCCAAGAAGAGAGTCCTCATTGGAGAACCAAATTAGCTGGCATCTTTCCAGAACTGTGAGAAATAAACTCCTATTGTTTAAGCCAAAACAGTCTATGGTATTTTGTTAAAACTGCCCCTGCTGACTAATATATTTACTTTTTCCCCCTCACTCAACACTATGCTTGTATAATTCGTTCTTGTTAATAAGTATAGCTATAGTTCACTAATTTTTCACTGCTATATTAAACTTACTATGTAATATTAATTACTTGAAAATACTGAAAAATTTGTTCCCTACTGTGTTGTTGACATTTGAGTTATTTGTAGCTTTATGTTATTACATGAAGGTGCTGTGAATATTCTTATACCTGACTCCTGGAATACACGTGCAGAAATTTCTCTGGGATATATTCCTGGATTGCATTTGGATGTCACAGAGTCTGTGCATCTTCAACTTTATGGGATAATGTCAGGTTCTTTTTCAGATGGTTGTACCCATCAACTTTCCCTTGCTAATACTTGCATTTAGGTAGTCTACAAGATTAAGTTCTGGCCAATAGGATGTACAACAGTCCCCTGCTTATCTTTAGGGTTATGTTCCAACAGCCCAGTGCATACCTGAAACCACTCTGTGGTTTTTAGCTGATAACGAAGGTGGCTAATAAATGACCAACAGTTAAGTAGCACATTAGCATGGATATGGTAGGCAAAGGAATGATTGGTGGGCCCAAGTAGATTGAAGTGAGACAGAACAAGATTTCATCATGCTACTCAGAACAGAATGCAATTTCAAACTTATAAATTATTTATTTCTGAAATTTTCCATTTAATATTTTCAGACTGTTAGTTGACTGTGGGTAACTGAAACCCTGGCAAGTGAAACCATGGATAAAGGGGGGCTACTGCATGGAAAAGTATTATTTAGGACTTTTGGAAAGGCACCCTAGTTGCTGGCTCAGCAGAGCTGTATCCCCTCTTTTTCTGTCCTCTTCCTCTTTTCTGCTGCTTGAAAGGCAAAGAAGATGGCTGGAGCTCCAGCAGCCATTCTGAACCAGGAGATGACAGAATGATAGGAACAAAAAAGCCTGACTTCCTGATAACGATGGAACCACCCACACTAGCCTTGGAGTGCCAATTATAGACATCCTTTACGCAAGAGAGAAGTGAACTTCTATTTTATGCCCCCATGTTTTGCAGTTTTTTGCTATAGGTAGCTTAATACAAGCCTAGGTGATTGTTTTGGTTTCTTACTGATTTCTAGGAGTTCTTTATGTAATCTAGGTACTACGTGGATTTTATTTGAAATATTTTTTCCCAGCTTATGCCTTGTCTTTTCAATCTCTTCATAATGTCTTTTCATGTACATTGGAAACTATTTCTAATATAATTGAATTTATTGATGTGGAAAGGATTTTTCCTTGGATTATTTGTGGCACTGGTAAATTAAAAAGTAGGCATCGTAAGGTCCTCTGCCCGAAGCCAGCCTTGTTTACAGTGGATCTCATCATGCTGCTTCCTTTCTTGCATTTGTCAGCATCATTTTTCACATTAAAAATTGGGTGGTGACTTACTTGCTGCTGTGGACTGTGGCCGTAGAGGTCGGTGAAGGATTCCAAAGTGGCTGGGCGAAAACTTGCTCTAAAAGCCATTGACTGGGTAGCTGTCGGAGAGATCATATCCCGAAATCAACAGGCTATTGCTAATTCCCTGAAATCTTGGAATGAGACCCTCACCTCCAGGTTGGCTACTCTACCTGAGAATCCACCAGCTATTGACTAGGCTTACTACAAGGCCAGTGTGGCCAAGGCAGGCTTGGTGGATGACTTTGAGAAGAAGTTTACTGTCCTGAAGCTTCCTGTACCAGAGGATAAATACACTGCCCTAGTGGATGCTGAAGAAAAAGAAGATGTGAAAAGTTGTGCTGAGTTTGTGTCTCTCTCGAAGGACAGGATTGTGGAAAATGAGAACCAGCTGGAGAAAATGAGGAACATGATTCCATTTGTGCAGATGACCATTGAGGATTTGAATGAAGCCTTCCCGGAAACTACATTAGACAAGAAGAAGTATCCCTACTGGCCTCACCAGCCAATCAAGAATTTATAAAATAGTCTGGGACAAAGTTCTGGCCCTTATGTTATACAATCCGGACAGTAAAAATATAAATAATTCCATTTAAAAAAATTGGGTGGTATACAGTCAATGAAAGGCACCGTCCATAGATACCCTCATATTGCTCTAGGGCAGGGGCTGCCAAACATTTTTCTGCAAAGGGCCAAAGTGGTATATGTCCTAGGCTTTGCAGGTCACATGGTCTCATCACAACTGAACTCTGCTGCCCTACAATGAAAGCATCACACAGTATGTAAGGAATAAACACGGCTTTATTCATGGTACTAAAATTTAAATTTCGTATAATTTCACATCACAAAAATTGATTTTTTTCCCCCGTCATTTAAAAATGTAAAAATCATCCTTAGCTCATGAGCTGTAGAGAAATCAGAGGAGGGCTAAGTCTGGCCAGCAGGCAGCAGTTTGTTGAGCTCTGCTTGGAAGTGCTGGGACAGGTGGGGTGGGGGTGGCCGGGTGACATGCACCTGCTGATTGATAGGTGTTGCTCGACTTAACTATCCTAGAAGCAGTTTTTGGCTTGTTCTATGCCTTAGAAAAGTGCATACAGATTAGAACTATGAAGAACCAGGATACAGGCCTGTCTGAGGTTGTGCAATAAAACATGTTTATGACAGGACGTCCCCAGTCCAAGAGTACATTGTGAGGTAAGGGGCTGGTGAACTACCATTGTGTGGCAAGCTGGCCTGCTCCACAGTGCAGTCAGAGGACACGCCTAAATTCCTGCCTTCTATTCCAGGGAAGAATGTGTGTAAAAATATCCATCCTCTGTTGATAACAAGTGCTCTGAAAAATAGGCATTTGGGTGTCAGCCATCGGGTCCCCTTGTTACTGTTTCCCAGCCTTGGTATGTGAACCTGCACGGGGAGTTCTCCAGCGGTACTACATGGCGGGACCGCTTTCCTCTTTGTTGGAGTGTTTGCCAAGCAGGACAGATGGGGCCATCACTCCTGGTGACCTCCAGGCCATTAGTATCCTGTTCTCACACAAAAACACCCCGGGCTCTTCAGGGATTGCCATCCTGCAGCGGTTAGGCAAAGGCACACTGGGACAACGGAGTTGTGCCACCACCACCGCAGGGCAGAGAACCAGTTCTGCCACTGTCCCGCCAGCCAGAAGCTTCCTTCAGGGGAGAGTAATCAGACGCGGCGGGCGGGATAAGAAATCAGGCCTCCGAGGCAGATGTAGGCGGCCTTTGGGAGGCCGGGGCCCTTGAGCGGCCGCGCAAAGTCACAGCCCCAACTGCGACCCGCGCGGCTCGCGCCTCGCCGGCTGCCC